GATACATGTTCCAAAAGGCATTCTTCCTTGCCCATGAGCAACTTGCTGAAGTAGAACTGCTTCACTCGTCCAAAACTGGAGCAAATATCGCGCTGACGTTTCTCTGAAGGGTTCAGATTCTACTCGCATCTTCTTTCGCCAGGTCTGACCTAGCCTGCCCAACAAAACGCCCGAGCCAAGAGCTCCAAAAAAAATATATATTCTAACTGAAGGAGGCTGCACAAGTCGACCCTAGGTCTCCATCACCCCCCTCCCCCCTCCCCTCCCCCCCCTTGGCCCCCCGCTAAGCCCTCCCTCCCATCCGCGCCACGGTGGCCCGGAAAGTGCCGAAGCGCTGCCCTGGGATTCCCAAAGCCCCAGGTCGAATCGAAGCGCCGGATCGAAGCAACGCAGGGCGGGGGGCGAACGACGCGAGTCTCACACCACTCGGAGACTATGGTTGAAACTTTGTTGCTGTTGACCCATCTGCAAAAAGTTTAACTTGTGGGTTTAGTGAACAACCCCTTCATTTCCCAAAAAGTCAAAGTCTAAAGATCCAACCCATTAGAAGTCAAGGAAACCAGTCACTCTGGGGAAATTTACGGAAAAAAATGATTCGAGGGTGTCTTAGGTGGTACAGGATTTTGTCCACCCACAGTATTTCCCCTTGAAACATCATCACCAAAGGAAGCTCCATGTAGAATTGGCCAAGAGAGGTGACCAAGAAGGGAAATATAGAGAGCCCTGGAATGTGCACCCCAGAGAAGAATCAACCAATCAGTTTACTTCTATTGGAGGGGCGGGGGGTTGACCCCTCCAATAGTGAACCCCCACTTCACCCAGAATGGGACACCCATTGTTAATAAACTGGGGTTGACAAATATGGGGTCAACATTAGGGAACAAGGCAAACATAGGCAAACCCTGGAATTTGCCGGACTGGGCGTCCTTGCGAAAATTGGAGCGAAACCCACCGTGCCGCGCCCGCGAACAGTGGCTCTGGAGTCCCATCTGCTCAGGGCTAGTACCAGCAATGGATGACCGCTTCACTGACGGTCCTGCCCTAAATGAAGCCATGCAAACCAACACTTGCGGAATCCACCCCATGGTTTCGTCAGCCAACACTTGCTGCGCAGCTTGGGAATGGCAAGGCAGGAGAATCAACAAGAACGCTCATTGCTCTCACTCAATGGCACTTCCGGCAAGCCCGAAAAGGCTTGGGCAAAGCTGCGTTGATTCAGCCAAGTGAGTAGCATCCCCACTACACAAATGGAACATGATTTGCTGGGCAGCCACTGCCCTCTGAGCACAATATGTGACTTAATTGCTGGGCGCCAGGAAGACGAAGAGGTGAAAGTAAACGAGAGAAGGCCCAACCAAAGAGCAAACCCTCTCTGGGTATCTTCAAACCTGGTTTACAAGAAGACACCTGGCCCACGATGCGACAAGCACTAAAACATGACATCTCCACAGCAAAAGCAAACAGCATATATTAACAAGCAAGACACCGTCCGAGTCCTGCCTCCAAACAAGCTCGAGACGTCCCTGCCATCGTCCGCGATGCCCCAAACCTCGGAAGCGCCCAAGCGGCGACTTGGAGCTATGAGTTCACCCGGCGGTCACAACAAAAACAAATCAGTGTGGGGTCAACATGATTTGGTCATCTAATGGAGGGCATCAGTTGCAAATCAGTTGGTCGGTTGCAAAAAATCACTTCCTTTAAACACCTGGCCAAAAGGCGATTGCCCGATGTCACATCTTTCCAAGAGTCAACACCACACACAGTGTCTACACCAAACACTGTGGTGGTGTACCACCATCCAGCTAGGAAGCTTACAACTGCCACTATGCGTTGAAGAAGTCCTCTCAGGAAGGCTTTTCTGAAGCATCAAGAAAATCGCGACCGAAAGCACAAACCGCGTTTTCGTCATACCCAGACGGATCGACATAGAGCTCATCCTGACGAGGGACCTTCCTTCAATTCAATAGGAATCTTACGGAATGTGATTTCGTGCAGGGCGTGCCTCCAAAAGCAACAGTCCTTCAGGTAGCCCAAGCCTTCGCAGCCTCCACCGTTCAAGGCACATGGGGGATTTGCCCGCGCTCTACAAGTTTCTTGGGGCCGCACATGTTGAAGACTGCTCATCGGTGCTGTGAATAGATTCACCGGCACCTTAGAAAAAGGGTACTGCTTTGCGAAGCTCGGCGCTACGCTATTCGTGCAGTCAGGGGGGGGTGCCCACAGCTGGGAACGAACAACAAGGCTTCGCGATTTGCAAGATCGATGATGCACAGTACCACAAGGCACTCTGTCAAAGAGGCTGAGGCTATCGCTTGTTGAATTGCCCTGGGCTATTCAACACAAACCCTGCCATTTTTGCTGGTTCCCCCCCCTCTCTGTGGGCAACTTGATGCGCTGCGAAGTCGCGCTTGTGCTGAAGTATCCCCTGTGGGCATCAACTCTGCACACTCAGCTTCTCAAGCAACAGGCACGGGTCAGTGATTCCAGACTTATGGTGGCA